TCACCCAAAATTTTTATTACATTTTCTGATACATATTGATGCCCTTATGCTGTATAGAAAGTTTGAGCTGATTCCGACTTTAATTTTTTGAGTTATATCCCTTCAACACACCTTTACATACAATGTACATGTACATATACAAGAACTTCACTAATTATTGAACCTCAAATTTTCCCCATAATATACAATACAAACATGCTTACATCATTGAAGGGTAGTTTAGAGGCAATGTCAACAAACAGCATAGAAGTAATAGCCTCCTTCATCTGGTGGTCAGTACAATCATGATGATGTATAGTACTACCATTAGCATTATCATCTATTTTCCACCAATAAGGATCAGTCATACCACCCAATATCCATACATGCTTAGCAGTAGTAAGGCCTGCTTGATAAGCCTACATAAACAAAGTATTAATAATGAAAATACAGTTAAACCTATCTATTCCAGACACCATGGGACCCAATAATACCCTAGCTCCTGATTATAAACCTGTCCTTATTTCAGAGGTTCATTAATACACATTACTATTGTATTGGGACTGATACTACCTGTCCTGAATCCTGATTATAAAGGTGTCCTTATTTTAGAGTGTCCACAATAGCAGGTTATACTGTACATGTATACCCATCACCTTTTAGTCATAACTTACCTCACAAAGTAAACCTCTTGCTTTTGTAGACTCCACAATAGCAATAAAGATTCTGAAGTCCCCCAACTGTGGAGAAATGAAGACAATACATAATAGTAATGAATGAGCTGCTTACTTTAATGCAGTTAATACACTCGTACATGCATGTAATATCAATGAGAATTTTAATTGTAAATTTCATAAGGAATATTGGCATTAACTTACATATAATATAGATAGCATAACACTAGTAAGGCTTCTACTATGACACTTAATACATATTGCTAATAAACACTTTAACAATATATATTATCGACACTTAATTGAACAGTCAAAATAGAATTTAATCTTCCTAGTTTACAGCCAAACTACTTCCTAACTCCAGCCAAACTGCTTCATATTATTATGTATCCAAGTAGTACATGAATTATTAGAACAACTAAACAACAACACTAATATTCTTTTGAAAATAATGGCTGGATGCTTCTAAAGCCAAAGATGTTGGGACATGACTTCATATTATGTTGGCATCAATATTTACCAAAATATGAATTACATGTGTGTAGATTACATTGCAACAAAAATTTGTAAATTAAAATGTAGCCAATATAAGTATAAAATATGCATTAGTTGTGCTTACATGCATATCTACTTGTATGTACATGTAATGTACCTTTGCAGCGCTGAGAATGTCTTCAGCCGAGTCAGAAAAAGAATCAAATGGAGTTGCTAGACTATTATTGTTCTTCATTGAAAGCTTTCTGTATATCAGCCCTGAAGTCTGAAAGAGACAATTTAATATGACAGAGAGAGAGGGAGGGAGTAAGAGAGAGGGGATAGAGAGGGGGAGAGAGAGAGGGAGGGA